CCCTTTTGTAGGCGTAGGCGTCCTGTGGCTGTCCCCCTGGAGGCCACAGTTACAGGCAAATCCGGATACGGATGCCGCCATTTTCTACACGGCCAATAGTACAATGGGCATTGTGCCACAACGTATGGAAAATGCAATAAACATACGAAGATAGAGGAGGAAAAAGCGATGTTCATGGGAGTAGTGAGTCATAACAAGTCCACCAATGTGCATGATTTCTTGCAATATTCAAAAACGTTTTCGGCCATGTGTGTTTTGGAGCCTTTACACTCCAGCCAGAGAGGCGAAAGCGCCCGACCACAGCTAACCTTGAAGTTAGCTCCTTAATGTTCCTGGCCCAAATCATACGTAGGCCACCTTGCTTTCGCTTCCAGCCGACTTCTGCGTGCGCGAAGAGGGCACGGCGAGGTAAGCGATGAGTAGGCATGCGGAGAACGTGCCCAAGCCACTGAAGTCTGCGCAGAGAAATTATACTGCTCAGTGGCCGGCAAAGTCTGTCTGATCTGAAAATCCTTCGTCGTATATCTTTATTCCTTGTGTGATGTTGCCATCTTACACCAGCAATACTCCGAATGCAGCGGTGATCAAAAACAGACAGCCTCTCAACATCCTTTTCGCGAACAGGCCAAGTCTCGTAGCCATTGGGTAGAACCACTCTCACTGTGGCATTGTAAACTCGGCCCTTCAGAGCTAGACTCGGATCACCTCGACGCCAGAGATCGTGGAGATTGGCAAAAACAACCCGGTCCTTAGGGGCATGCAAAGAGACCTCATCCGTTAAACTATTAGCTCTGAGGCAGCTTCCGAGGTAAACGAACTTGTCCACCAGTTCCAATGAATGACCTAAGAGGTTAAGGTCAGGAGCAGGGTCTAGCCAGTCCTGCTGGAAAACCTTTCATTTTGATGTTACGTAGGTCATTCCAAAATGGGAGACAGACAACTCCAACCTACACAGAACATTTTGGGCTGCCTGTGAGGAAGCGCAGATTACGGCGATGTCCTCTGCATACTCCGAATCCTGAAGTCGGTCCCCGGAAGCAGCTGGACGCCGTTGGGTTCGCAGTCCTCCAGAGCACTCTCCAAGAAATCGTCTATAACGAAATTGAACAAGAAGGGGATGCTGAGCAACCCTGTCTCACGTCACTGGTGATCCCAAGGGGGGCAAAAGTCCGCCGTACACCCGCACTGGGCCCGAGGTTTGGGAGTAGATGGCTTGAAGTAAGGTAACATAATTCTCGGGCACTCCCCTTCTCAGTAGACAACCCCAGAACGCAGCTCTGTCGACTGAGTTAAACGCGGCTCGTATGTCTAAGAAGACAACCATCGTTGTCTGGCCAAATGTTTGGCGACGCTCGAGGATTTGGCGGAGTGTAAAGATGTGATCAATGCAACTCTGACCTGAGCGGAACCCAGCTTGCTCTTCACGAATGCTCTGTTCGCGTACCAGGATGCCCCTTGTTAGAAGCACAGCTGCGAGCTCCTCGGAAGCAACACAGATGCGACTAATCCTTCTGTGGTTGGTTCAGTCAGTTCGGGTACCCTTCTTGAGGACGGACACGATTTATGGTAGGCTCTAATCAAATTGAATAACTTTAGTGACCCAGATCTCTTAAAGGGAAGAACTTAACTCCTGAACAAGTGATGGGCCACCATCTTTGAAAAGAGTTGGAGAGGTTAATATGGGCCTGAGGCTTTGTAGCGCTTTAAAAGGCGAAACTCGTGGGCAACCTCAGCCTCGGATATTGGTAAAGCGTCTACACACCAGACAGCGCGCTGGATGCCAGAATGGGAACTCATTGGTGCTTCTGGGCAATTAAACTGCTGCAGAAAATGCTCGGCCCAACGCTCGGTTCGGCTTTCCTGACAGTGGATTGGCTCGTCATTGCTTTCGCATAAAACACCGGCGCCTGAAAGTACGGCTGCGTGAATCGCCATCTGGTCCCATCCACGCTGAACGCGGAGTACCACAGGGATCGGCATTAGTGTCGCGATTATTTTTGACCTAAACTAACAATAAGGCATGCTTCAAAAGCTCGCGCTGCTTGCTTTATGCCGATGACATCGTGGAGGGCGATCAATACACCAGATGATATTATATGATATTCCACCACTTCAGACCGAGCTAGGTAGGGTTTACGCATGATCAATCCAGAATCTACTTCGGTTTACTTTGGAATGATGTAGCGTGCTTCACTTACGGCACCAGCTGGCTTGCTGCTATAAACTAAGAATTTCAAACGTCATCCGGTGAAAATGATCTGGACATTTTGCTTTACCACGACTTTGGCTGTTCTAGTCAGATTGAGAACGCATCAATAAGCGGTAACCATAACGAGAGAATTCTTCGGCGTGCATTCAAATGATACGACTCGTCGATTTTTCAGCATCTCCTCGGTGCATACATTTGCCCACAAGTGGAATACACAAAACTCAGATCTGGCAGTCATGCCTGAGAAGAAATCTCACTGCCTTGAAGACACCCGAACGTCATGCAACCAAGAACGTCATAAGCTTGTATCATTTACCTTAGGAAGAAAGGCGGCGAGTGCTCGCGGTCTTCAGCGGAAGAGACCGATGCTTTCGTGGGGACCTCATTGTGAGTCACCAGATTTTGGAGAACCCAGTAACAAATTCCACCATCTGCTGAAGATCGGTTACCGCAGCAATCTGAGAGGCCATCATGTCATGCTGGCAGAGCAGTACAATCGTTTGAAATGCTGTGGGAATTTCTTCTCCCTGTGTGTACCAAAGGTGGCAAGCCCAACCGGGACCCACGCTGGCAGAATTCAAAGCCCGAGTTGGCCGTGCACTCATTTCACTGCACCATCTCACATGATTCATTGCCCATGACCTAACACGCGTGTCTGTTACAGATTTCACTGCCGGTCAACTCCCAGCATACGTCTTACCTTTATCGCCACCTGCGTGTGTTCATCAAGCGGTGACGTGGCCTATACAAACATCCCATTTGTCATCATACTTTAGGGACTTACACCGGATTCCCGGTTTGTAATACTTGTACCATGGAGAGTCCACCAGTGTGGACTTATTTTGCCGAAACCTTTTTCATATGTTGCACTTTTCACCATAGGTTCATTCGATTCGGTGGATAGACGTGCACTTTGGGACTGTCTACACAAGGAAAGTGTACCTGAGAAATATGTAGATATTATCCGATCGTTATACGCGCGTATCTCGGACAGAGTGAGCGCTTACGGCAAGCTGTCCCTGCTCTTCAATATGTCTAGCAGTGTGAGCCAAGGACGCTCGTTGTCACCTTTCCTCTTCAAATTCCCTATTGACGAAGTCAAGGAAATCACGTTCACAGGGCACGACTTAGAAGGTGTGGATCTGCCTCCAGCAAAACGACTTTTTGTCTTGCAGTATGCAGACGATATTACCCTATGCTGTGACAGCTCCCAGACGTGCCAAGCGACACTGAACAGATTAGCAATGGCTGTCAGCCGCTTCGGCCTTTGCTTTACACCATCGAAGTGCAAAGCGTTCCTCCAAGATTAGCCTGGACCGCCTCCTTCGCTGACCCGTGGTGGGGATGAGCTAGAAGTAGTTCAGAAATTCAACTTACTGGGAAGTTGTATCAGCGCCCGTGGGATTAAAGATGAGATCACGAACGGTATAGCAAAGGCTTGAGGCGCTTTTGCTAACCTTCGCCAACTATGGCGCCGGCGCGACATCACTCTTGCCCTGAAGGATAGAGTGTACAATGCAGCGGTACGTTCGACCCTACTGTACGGTTGTGAAACCTGGCCCCTTAGAGCAGCAGACCTGAAGAGTCTAGTTTCGTTCGACCAGCGCTTCCTCCGAAATTTAGCTTACATCTGGTGGGAACACCGCGTGAGCAACAAGCGTGTTCGACGCGTTGTTTAGGGCACAGGAAAAGAAAATGAACCGCTCAGCACCGTTATTTCACGCACCAGTCTCCGATGGCTCGGCTATGTGTTACGCATGCCAGCCCACTGATTCCCACGACGTGTGTTGTTTGCGGGCCGCGGGTGTAGAGGAGGGGTGTCCAAGCGTTGACTTGGTCGAGAGGAATGAGGACCCTCACTTCTGAGCTGGCCTCAGTTAGAGCGTCTCGTCTCCCTGGTTGGGGTCCAAAAGGAGATGAATACGATTGGCTGGATACACTTTCTGACATGGCAAGGAGCCGACCACAGTGGCGTTCATGCTGTGAGTTTCTTTGTCCCACCTCATCCCTCTTAACCTCCCCCTCCAAGCATGATCTCACTTGTTGGCCTTTTATAATTTTGTATAGCAAATTATTTTTTCTGCTGCATAGTAGTCGGCTAGTAGCTTACCGGAACGATGCCCATCTGTTACCGGTAGCTCAGCTAGCTTGTACCTATTGCATTTTATTCCCTTTGTTCTTTTAGATAATGCGGCACAGTATCTGAGGTGTTTCCCACTAGCTAACGTGTATAATAATAATAATATTCACCATAACCGTCACACTCAAATTGTTAAGCTTTTGCCATTTTATTCATATTAAACCACTGTTCTATTGTACCCATGACTAATGTATGCCGCTTTATATATATATATATATATATATATATATATATACATCTGGATATTTACGTAGTTGTTATCAAATGAAATTTCAATGTTAGTTAAAATCAATGGGAGCCTAAGACAACCGATTCCTCCACACTATCAGAGTTTGACAAACCCTTTGTGATTATTTGGATAACAGACTGAGACATTCAAGTTTGCGCCTACGAGCAACTGTCTGAATAGATAATTATTTTCAGACACCCGCACTAAATATGTAGGAGTGAGCGGAACGTTTTGCTTGAGTTATTCGCTACAAAATAGGACAGTCGGAGGACATTAAGTTCAGACACTTTGTAGGATGCAGGTAACCCACGCATATGTAGATCGATTTAAGTGAACAGGATCGTTTCGTATATCTACACCTGTTATCTTAATGCGTGTCTACGTGGACCATCAGTGGGGAATTTGCAAACTTTGTCACTTACCGCAATATATTTCAATCTCATTAATCACGCCGTTGGGTCTGCCATTAACCGGAGCCAGTGCGTAGTTCGGTCCTTCTTCCATCTTAGTGTAGTTGGCAACGACCGCTTCGCGTAACCCCATTTCCTGTGTAACCCTAGTGGCCGTGGTCGTAGCGGGTCCAAACGTCGAAGCATGTGACTGTACTAAAGGTACAGAGAGTACCGAACCACTGAAGCTGGATATTCCGTTCTCTGGGGTCGCATCAATTGTGTGTGCTCCGGGAGCGTGCGACATGTCTCTAATGTTGTAACTTCCCACCTCAACCTGTTGGTCACCGTTTGTCCCATCTTGTAAGGATTGAAGAGGCGAGTAGGTCGTGTCTGCCCCTTTGTCCCCATCAGTTACGGCTTCGGGACATGCATTCATTGACTTTTGCGTCTCGATTGGACTGTTCCCATCAAGAGCGATGGCCGCCTGCTGCGTGGAGTTGTTGAGCAAAGACAACGTTTGTGTCATGTTGTTGTTGTTTGTGCCCGATAATTCGGCTGGGTCAACGTTTTCCTTGAAGACCTGAAAGTCAAAGTAGAAAGTATTTTGTAGAAAGTAGAAGTCACGATTAAAATTCACGCACAATAATGTGCCTCGACGGGGAATCGAACCCCGGTCCACGAATTTCCGGTCCGCTGCTCTACCACTGAGCTACCGAGGGCTGACGATTAGGTGTGCAAATTTTAACACATGACCTCTGCTTGGTGCGCGACGTATTGCCAATGGGCTCACAGTGCCTGTCCTGGTGTTGCAGATTGGCTCACTCACCCGTCACTTCCCAATGGGCTGAAGTATCTGTCCTTCGAATGTCCAATGGGCGATAGTAGATTAAATTTGGATGTTTGTGAGTAGGGTAAAGATTGTAGAAAGTAGAAGTCACGATTAAACTTCACGCACAATAATGTGCCTCGACGGGGAATCGAACCCCGGTATTTTACTTGTGCATCCTAACAAAAAATACGTCAACGTGACGTACCCGGAAGACTCTCCACCTGTGACTAGTCCATCTGCAGGACTGTTAGACGGGTCATCCTGCGAGGGGCTATTCGTTTAGAATGAACACCCAATACAAAAACCGCGCAACTGATTAAATATTAGTGGATACCTGTATCCGGCCAGGCTAGATGCCCATGGTACACTGTAGCAGCTAAAATGAAAGAACTAAGGTTGTGTCAACGCTAATCTACTGTGTCATTCTGGCTGACATTAGTGAAGTGCGGTTAGTATTGCGACCATACACCATATATCTACCACAACCTGAATCGTGGATTCATTTGGGACCATACTGAAATGCTGTACTAGCCTCTATGTCTATTGTTCCTTTAGCGTCATGGTGTGTGTATGTGTATGTGCGTGTTTGTGTGTGGACGACCTTGTCCAAACGGGTTTGCCAACCACACGAAGGGAGCACAGGCGAAGACACAGTTTCTCTTCGATGGTAGGCCGCAGTTCCACGTGTGCTGGACATAAGCAAAACACAACCGACATTGTATCACGTTAGCAACTGTATAATGGGCAGTCTCCGACGATACAGGATAGCGCCTGGAATCAAGGAGAAAGCGTGTTTACTCAACACGTGGGGCAGCATAATTCAGTATTCAAGAACTGCATTTATGTATGTAACGGTGAGTCCCCATTTACATGTCACGAATACAGTTTGTGCACACAGATTATGCACCAAATCTGAACAGTAAGCTCCTTATTCCTTTTTTCATGAGATAGGATATTTACAAATTCTATGCCATTGATGCTCAGAGAACTGTGCACAATATCTGTCATGCGGTTCAGACTAACAAGATGTGGTAGAGGAGGAGCACATGCATAAGTGCTGAGCCACCATCGGGCCCAGAATCCCCCGTTAGCAATGTATTTTAAATTGGGTCAAAGAGTTATATTCACAATGATGTCTGGAAGTGGTATCATAGGTACCAGCCGGACATCAATCAGACATTCGCAAATCATTCAATGGGTTGTATATCCTACCGGAATAACTCTACCTGCTGTTCGGAGCCCGCCAACTATAGTCCAGTGGTTCTTCCTCCAGTATTCTCAAATGTAATGCAGTCGATCATAGCTGAGGCACTGATTAGGTATTTAGAATGATCTAACCTCAGCACCGGGGCAACACGGATTCCGTCGGCATCGGTTACGCATCACCAATCTAGTGATCGCGCGTGGCAGTCGAACTGAAACAGTGGATGGCGGGACCGGCATTGACATCATCTATCTCGACTTTTCCAAAGCTTTCGGCCGATTAGATTGCCGAATCCTTCTTCAAAAGCTGCGTACGTACGGAATTATGGTCCTTATCCTTGAATGGACCGAAAACTTTCTTCTCCAGCGACAGCTTCAGATTCTGGTTCAAGACTGATTTTCAGATCTTATTGATGTGGACTGCGGTGTTCCACAAGAATCAGTGTTGGAACCGGGCTCATTCTTAGTCTTCATCAACTACCTTGCTCATGTCATCGAGTCGACTTTCTTACACTTTGCCGGTGACATCAACCTCATCATCAGGAAGTTCATGAGAAGCCGTGAGGAAACTTGATCCGTGCCTTTGAATGGCTAAAGGCAAATCTACTTTCGTCCAACGCGGAGAAGTGTAGAACAGCGTATGTACACCAGAAGCCCATTAACGCTTATAAGCTTGGAGACCACACCTTGAATGCCGCCTCACGGGAGCGCGACTTTGGTGTGGGGATACAAGACGACCTCGGTTGTTCGGAGAAATCCATGAAGCCGTCCAAAAGTGCGAACCAACACGTCGGACTCTCACGGAGTGCGTTCGGATGCTTCGACGCTTCTATATTCCTTGAAATGTTCAAGGTATATTTGTGTGGCTCTATTTAGAGTAAGCGATTCAGACTTAGCAACATTTGCTAAAATACGATCTGGCTACAACTGAGATCCTCTAGCGAAGGGCAGCCATACCAACTGCGAAAAAGCCCTAATTATTGAAAAGAAGGCTGCTGATCTGCACGTATGCATTGAGTTTCGACGGTCGGACTGTAGTATGCTTCGTAAAGTTCGGAAGAACTTCGAAATCGTTTACTAAATCTACGTAACACGAATGTTAGCATGTTTCTAGATGAATATTGGTGATTCTTAACGACAGTGACAACAGATGACAAGCTTACAGATAACGTGACACTTCTCCATAACTGTTGAAAACTGTTGACGATCTCAATTGCGTGACGTGTGTTGCAGACGACATGACTATTAAGGACTAGATCAGGCAGGATCACAATACCGATTCAACCGTTTCTTTTATATATATATATATATATATATATATATATATATATATTCACATGTCTGTATACAGGCAATGTGCCAACAGAGCCATGGCACAATGGAGGACAGTAAGCGTAAGAAACAAAACAAGAAAAAAGACAGTTCTTTTTGGTTTTCACAAACGCCGTTTGAGTTTTGTTTTTTAATATACAACTATGGACTTGTGATTAATCAACAGCTACAACGGCACAGCAACACTGACGCCACTGATGTCTGCTACATTCCGAGTCGCAGGGTACCTACTCTGGGAGGCGAGCTGATTCGACTGCAGCTAAGCTTGAGACTGCTTTCTTCATGCTCCTTTCCCACGTCAGTGGTTGTCCACCGCGAGACTTTTTCCAATCGCTTCCGGGATGCACACATAACGCTCGCCGGGGAAAGCCATAGAACGGCATGCGCAGTACGTGGCCGAGCTAACGCATGCGCTGTCGGAGAACAAATTATTAAAGGCTGCGACTCGTTTCCGAACCTCCGTATTGGTTTTGTGATGTTGACACCATACACGAGGGATCCTTCGCAGACAACCGTTGTCAAACATTGACATTCATCTCATGTCTTCGAAATGTACAGGTCAGGTCTCCCAGTGGTAAAGCAAGACCGTACGAACGGAAGCATTGTACACACTGTCCTTGAGGTTAAGACTGACTTCACGACGACGCCATAGGTGTCGCAGTTTGATGAAGTGAGGCAGGTTTTGTAATGCGCTGCAAAATCTCATCTCCAATACCGCCACCAGCCGCGATGCGACTGGCTAGATAAGTAAAGCAATCTACTTGTTCCAGAATGTCCCCCGCAATGGAGAGCGCGGACGCAGACCCGGCCAATCCTGAAATACCGCTTTACATTTGGCTGAGGTGAAGTACAGGTCATAATTGAATGCCTTAATCGCTAAACGGTTCAAGGTGTTTTGAACGGTTTGCAGGTCGTTACCAAGCAAGACGATGTCATCGGTGTAGCCCCTGTCCGCGATTCTGGCATCAGAGAGAAGTTTAATATCGCAATTCGGGACGCCTTCTGAAGCTCGTTGTACGACATCTTCGATGGCAAAATTGAAGAGCAGGAGTGAAATAGGGCAACATTGGCGTACGCCGCTGACGACAGAAAACGAAGAGCAAAGTCTGCCGTATGCTCTAATTTTGCTCGACGTGTGACTGTGCAGTTCCCTCAGAATAGCGATAAACTTTTCGAGTACACCCTTCTTCAGTAGACAATTCCACAAAGCAGCTGCATCTACTGAATCGAATTTCACGCGGAAGTCCATGAACACTACGAGTGTTAGTCGGCGGTGGACGTGGCGGAGCTCGAGAATTTGTCAGAGTGTGAAGATCTGATCAGTGCAACTTCGGCCTGGTCGAAAACCGGCTTTTCGCAGGAAAATCTCTCTGGTGGAGGAATACGTGCGAAGTAAGACGAACATAAAAATCTTGGACGCAACTGAGATCAGCGAGATCCCGCGGTAATTAGCGCAATCTTCGCAGGGGCGTTTCTTGTAAAATGGGACAACTATTGAGTCGCACTAAGAGTTGGGGACTTTCTCCGCAGTCCAAACCTTGGTGAAAAGGGAGCTCAACTCGTTGACAAGTTCCTCCCCTTTATCTTTGAAAGGGGTTGGAAGAAGCTTGTAAGGGCCAGGACTTTTATGCCATTTCAAAGAACGAATCGCGCTTCCGATCTCGACTTCGGTAGGAGAGTCACTGTAGACAAGCCAAGCAACATCCGATGGAGATGGAGGTATCACAGAGGGATGTGCTTAATAGTTACATTGAAGAGCAAAGTGCTCTCCCCAGCGCTTCAATCGCTTCTGCGGGTTGGTGGTTTTTGTGTCTTCTAACTCAGATTGTATGACCGATGGCGTGTGAATTGCAACCGGTGGTCTTGAGGAGGCAAAACAAACTGCGGCAGTTTCAAGCCGAGGCAGCGCATCATCTCAGCAGCACGTTTAGATCACGAGGATTCACGGTCAGAGCGAAGGCTTGCTTTCAGTTGCAGAGAAACCGATCTGCGGATTTTTTGTATCCCGTGCCAGTGTGCACGAAGCGTTGACAAGCTAGAATTCCCGAGGAAGTTCCCGAGATCCAGCTTTTAGCTGTGCAGCGGACGAGACCGCAGCTGGACAAATATGCGGACAGCACGGCGTTTTGCAAGCCGAACCAGTGCTTGTCAGCATCCAGCGAAGAGGGGGGCAAGGTTTTCACGAAGCTTCTGTTGCTGCTCCGTTTGTACTGCGAGATCTTCCAATTTGCAAATGTTTAGTCGTGTATGTTTAGCCCTTGGAGAGCCACCGAAGTGCATGCAGACTGTCGCGTACACCAATGCATGCTTTTTCCACACAAGTAGACCCGTATGATCGGTAATCGCATATGCTTCCACGCCACTTTCGGTTTATGGTCAGGTGATCAATTTGCGACCATCGCTGGGTTGATGATGGAAGATAACAGGTGGCAGAATGTCGCTGGGGGTGACAAAAGCTCGTACTGGAGAGGAAAAGTTGCTGATCGCCACATAGACTGAACCATGTTTCTCCATTGTCAGCGCGAACAACATCCTATCCATACGGTCCTCCAAAGTGACGGTTAGGTGGAAACAGCCGACCAACACGTGGGTTGAAATCTGCTGCCATAATGAAGATATCTGGTTTGGGTGGCCTTAGGAACCGATCATAAAGACTTTGCATCCGAGCCTCGGTCAGTGGGGGCATAAGCGGAGATCACAAAAAGCGCACGCTTATCGGCTCGATGTCTGATAACTTTGCATGAGTCTTGGAGCCTAACAGCACAGAGGCGACTGTTGATTGGAATCCAGTCAAAGAGTGGGGTATCGGCTCTAGCACTGAGCGCAATCCCAACACCAGCTTGCCAAGAAGCGGCAGACTCAGCGTCACCAGAAAGGAGGAGATGAAAACGTGTGTGGGGATGTATTGGTGACGACATCTGGTAGACTGCGTTGGGATCCTGAAGTCCTGTCACTCAGGCACCAAACATCAATTGTAAATGTTTCCAAGGTTCGCACCAGTCCAGCTTGTCGTCCGAACTGCAACCGTGTGCGCATATTTAGCGTTGCTAGCTTGAACCGAGTTCCAGGTTGCAGAAGCGACGATGGAAAACCATGTGGCTGGTGGCTCCCTGTGAAGCACTGTGTTACTGAGCTGGTGGATTTTGGTGGGAAGCATTCACCGCTGGAGTGAGTTGTTCACCATCTAAGAATCAGGTAATGAGGTGGGTAAATTAAAAGAGGATAGCTAATTGGGTGGCGTGTGATTATGAAGCTGGTGCATTCTCAGGAACCTAGACCATGGTGAGAGCGAGAGAGTGAGTGTATTTCCTTGGTTCGTCAGTAGGCGAGATAGTACCCGGTTGCATAGTTAACTGAACCCAAACCCGTAAGAAAATTACCCTTCTCGAACATGGGGTGG